CTCTGTGTATAAGTCTTTCACCTCCTTGGTTAGACTTATTCCTAGGTATTTTATTACTTTGGGTGCTGTTTTAAAGGGGATTGTTTCTTTACGTTCTTTTCCTGTTGATTCATCATTAGTGTAAAGAAATGCAACTGATTTTTGAACGTTAATCTTGTAACCTGCTACCTTGCTGAATTCTTCAATTAGTTCCAGTAGTTTTTGTGTGGACCTTTTAGGGTTTTCTATATATAGTATCATGTCATCAGCATATAGTGACACTTTTACCTCTTCTTTTCCAATTTGGATCCCTTTTATTTCTCTCTCTTGCCTGACTGCTGTGGCTAGGACTTCCAAGACTATGTTGAACAAGAGTGGTGAGAGTGGACAGCCTTCTCTTGTCCCAGATTTTAGTGGGAAGCTTTTGAGTTTTTCACCGTTGAGTACTATGCTGGCTGTAGGTTTGTCATATATAGTTTTTATTATGTTAAGATATGTTCCCTCTATACCCACTTTGGTGAGAGTTTTTATCATAAATGGGTGTTGAATTTTATCAAATGCTTTTTCTAATCTACTGAGATGATCATGTGGTTTTTGTCCTTTCTCTTGTTGATGTGATGTATTACACTGATTGATTTGCTTATGTTGAACCACCCTTGTGTCCCTGGGATGAGCCCCACTTGATCATGATGTATAATCTTTTTTTAATGTGCTGTTAGATTCTATTTGCTAATATGGTAAGGATTTTTGCATCTATGTTCATCAGTGATATTGGCCTATAATTCTCTTTTTTGGTAGTGTCTTTGCCTAGTTTTGATATCAGGGTGATGGTGGCTTCATAGAATGAGTTTGGGAGTATTCCCTCCTTTTCAATCTTCTGGAAGAGTGTGAGAAGGACTGGTATGAGTTCTTCTTTGTATGTTTGGTAGAATTCCCTGGTGAAGCCGTCCAGTCCTGGACTTTTATTTGTAGGGAGATTTTTTATTGCTAATTCGATTTCATTTCTGGTGATCAGTTTGTTCAAGTGATCAGTTTCTTCTTGGTTCAGTCTTGGTGGACTGTATGTTTCCAGAAACTTGTCCATCTCCTCTAGGTTATCCATTTTGTTTCCATATAGTTGTTCATAGTAGTCTCATATGATATTCTGTATTTCTATGTTATTTGTTGTAATTTCTCCATTTTTCTTTCTTATTTTGCTTATTTGTGCTCTCTCTTTTCTCTTCTTTGTGAGCTTGACCAGAGATTTGTCGATTTTATTTACTCTTTCAAAAAACCAGCTCTTGGTTTGATTGATTTTTTCTATTTCTTTTTAATCTTTATTTTATTTATTTCCTCCCTGACTTTGATTATTTCCTTCCTTCTGCTGGCTTTTTTTTTTTTTGCTTTGCTTTTTCTAATTCTTTTAGCTGGTGAGTTAGATTGTTCTTCATTTTTTAGGAAGGCCTGTATCGCTATAAACTTCCTTCTTAGCAGAAGGCCCATATACTCTTAATCACTTCATCTAAATTAGATTCACCAGTTAATATTTTGCCATTTGCTTTCTCTCTCTTGCTATATAGTTTTCCTTTCTTTTTTCAATGCTGAACTATTTTAAAGCTAATCACAGATATCATAATACTTCAACATTTTATCTTCTAACAATAAGAACAGTCTCTTAAACAACCCCAATATCATGATCACATTCAGGAAATTTAGCATTGATATAATACTATTATCTAAACTACAGTTCTTATTCAAATGTTATATTTAGTTGCTATTTCTTTTAGTTTCTTTTAATCTAGAACAGTTCTATAGCCTTCCTTCTTTCATGGCATTGATATTTTGGTGTGAATGCAGAGCAACTTAGATTCTCACACGTTGCTTATATGAGTACAAAATGGTACAACCAATTTGGAAAACTGGCAATTTCACATAAAATCAAACAATTGCCATTTCTATGCCCTGGCAATTTTACTCCTGGGTATTTACCCAAGAGAAATAAGAACATATATGCACCAAAAATTTATATAAGAAAGTTCATAGCAGCTATATTTATAATAGATTAAAAAATGGAAACAACTCAAATGTCCAAAACATATGAATAGATAAGCAAATTGTTGTATATTCACACTATGGAATGCTTGCTACATAGCAATAATTTTAAGGAATAAACAGTCAATACACACAACTATAAGGATGAATCTTAAAAACATTATATTGAGCAAAATGAGTGAAATAAGCTAGATACAAAAGAGTACATACTGTATGATTCCATTTATCTGAAATTCTACAACAGATAAAAATAATTAAATTGATAGAAATAAGCCAAGTGGTTACTTGTGGGGAGAGGGAGGCTAGGAAGAGGACAGGAAACTTATTTGAGTAATGGAAATGTCCTATTTTACACTCATTTAATTGTATACACTTAAGATCTGTGAATTTCACTGTATATAAAGTTTACCTCAATTTTTTAAAGTGCATAAATCAGAATTATAAGCATCATGAAGGCAGAGATTTTGTTTTGTTCACTGCTGTGTCTCAAGACCTAGCCAAGGACCAGCGTGCTTAGCAAGAGGTCAATAAACATTGGGGAAAAAAGAAGCAGACCTTGGAAATCATTTACATCAGTGGTGTCAAATGCATAATGGAGATTTTGACCCTCAACTTTAAATATTATAAATATATATCTTGGATTTGATACTTGATATTATTAATCCACTTCCTGCGTTACTTAGAATCCTTTTGATCAATTACAAATGTTTTGAAATAAGAAAATGGATATTTCAACAAAAGTTTTCTGACTCTAAACCTTTGCTTTTTCTGTTTAATTTCTACTGCCTCCAGTTTACATGGTGAGCCTCCAGGATTAAGGAATAAACTGGCTAAAAATGATGAGTATGTGTCCAGACAGGGTTATGCCCCTTTAGTTGGATAATGTTTATCTTAGTCTAAGTGGTGAACATCAGCAAGCAGTTGAATACAGAGTCTCATGAGAAAAGTCTACAATGGATAAATTGATTTTAGCTGACATATAGTAGACATCTAGTAAATATTTGTTGAATGAATAAATAAATGAAATGTATATTTGGGAATCACTAGCAAATTCAACTGAGGGTATATGCTTCCAGTATTTTTCCATACCTGTGCATTTTTGAAGCAGAACTAGTAATCAGTTTCATAATGTTCCTTGAAAGTTATATTTATTGCTATTTTATGTTTGAAAAGTTAGTATCATTTTATGAGAGAATATTTAGAAAGTAATTATGAAATGCCACCTTGTGATCAAAGACAGAAATACAGCGTAAATTTAGTTGACAAAGGAGAGTGGTAAGGATGTAGCATTAAGGGAGGAAGCTTCTCAGCCAGGACCCACAGAGGTCTGACACTTACACCAGTCTTCTCAGAAGAGGGAACAGAAAGCAAATGAGGAACTGGAAGAGCCAGCAGCCCCTATCTCAGCTAAAGAGAAAGGAGAAACAGAACTATACTATTTTTACCTTTTTGACGTTTTTTCTAATTATAGAAACTCCATGCACTCATTAAAAAAAAAGTTAAAATTACAAATATAGAGAAGGATAAAGATGAAGTTATAAATTTCCCCTAATAGCACTATTTAGAAATATTCACTTCAAATATTTTGATGTTTATCCTTAACCTGTGTGTGTGTGTGTGTGTGTGTGTGTGTGTGTGTTTTGCAGCTGGCTTTTCCATGAGACAGTATGTAAGAATCAACTTTCTATGACAATGATATATTTCTAGATTAAATTTTGTAATTGATGACAGTAAGATTTTCCTCATAATTTCAAATTTTCTGGGAAATAACTAAATAAAATGGAATTGTGGAGGGAAATTTTTTTTCTCATCCTGCAACACAGAAATGGCATCAGAGTCCACAAATTATGTAAATGTATATGGAATTCAATTATTTCCTTTGTAATCCCAAATGAATCCCAAACAATTATTTCATTTAGTTTATGTACTATTTGTTTCTTTTAGGCAACGGAGAAGGTTGGATGAAAGGAACGAGCATAGACTTTTGCTTTAGAAGGGTGGTGCAGAGTCAAGGAAATACAGACTTTTTGGGTTCTTATTTGAGTGTCAACATCAACTGATGATAACGATGATGATGATGGTGGTGGTGGTGGTGGTGATGATGACAGTACTGATGACAATGATTGTCAAAGATCTAACATTCTCTAAAGGCCTATTATATGCCAGGAATTTCACTGTCTTCTGCATTTACTTCCCACAACAGTCTGGTGGGTTACATTGAGCTATACTCATTTTACAGATGAATGAACCAATCTGGCTGCATACTTCTTATAAGCTGAGAATCCAATTCTAGCCAGTGCTTTCTGATTATACTGGGTCCACCCTTGGCCAAATACTATCAAAACTAGTGTTTTCAGTTAGCAAATTTTGAAGTCTTATATCTTCCCTATAAAAAGTTCCCATCAAGCCCCCTTGTGAAGGAAAAAAGGGGGAAAGGAAGTCTAGTGCTCTGATCTGCAATGAGACAGTGGAAGGCCAAGACAGCCCAGCCATCAGCCTAGAAGTCTGGTGTCTGCTGCAGGCTGGAGCAGAGAAGCCGAAGTCAGACCACCCTGGAGAGAGGTGTGGCTGCGGGGAGCCCTTCCACGTCCACCCCCAGCGCCACCCCTGAGAGCGCCAGGGGGTTGGATTCATCCTGTCCTATAAAACTGGCACAGGGAGTCCCTGGACCCTCATCTCACTCCAGCCGGAATCCAGCCTGACCAGCATCCATGAGGCTGCCATAAACTTGAAGAATGGTCTGGAAATATGAAGATCCTTCCAAATGGCATCACATAGTGAAAAAAGTAAAACAAGCAAAGCCAAAGAGCACAGGACTGGCTTACTGTTTTGTGAGCTGATCACAAAAAGAGAACTTGAATATATTTTACTCATACTGGAAGGAGTGAGTGCATAGCCAAACATGGTGTTCAGTCAAGAAGAACGCATCTTACATTAATTCCGTCCCTTGACTTTTTATCTTGTCTTTTTTTTTTGTTAAAAGGAATCTTTAAAATTTTACGAATAAACCTGCCAGTCTTTTCCTCTAGAAGTTCATGCTTTTAAAAAATGTTGTTATAAGCTTCTACTTCCTGAATTTCAATAAACATTCACCAGTATTTTCTTCTATTTTATGTTCATATTTGTAATAATGGAAAGTATATTATATATACCAGTTGTCCTCATGCATCGGTGTCTGTCATCACCTGGAGGCGTTTGTTAACTGTCACTTCTACAGCCTACCTCTAGGCAGTCTTAGGTGGGGCCCAGAAATCAGTATTTTTAAAATGTTCCCCAGATGATTCCGATGCAGGTGATTGTGCAAAACTTGGATAAAACACTTGGAGTGCAATTCATTTCATGAACTGTTTCTCTCTGGAATTACTTGTCATAATACTAGAAAAATAAAGACTTGTGAAAGGTAATTGAATCAATCGCAGAATTTGGACAAACCTACTGGGTTCTAGTAATAATCAGTCAAGAAATCAATTAAATATTAAAATATGATGTGTCAGTTACACACAAGTATGTGGGGACATCAGAAGGAAAAGATAGTCTTGTTCTGTAGGGAAAATATAATTTCTAACATTTATAAAGTAGCCAATCTACTTCAGGTACATCTATAAAGCTCTTGTCTTTGCAAGTTTTTTTTTTTCACATTTTAACTGGGGATGGGATGAAGTGAAGTGGACTTTTCTCTTAAATCTGATTCCTGTATGGCTTTGTGCAATTTACATATTCTGAGTTTCCTGAACTGGTAGGGCTAGGAGCCTTCAGGTACAGATAATCTTATGAAACAATTTTTTAAAAAGACAAAATTTTAGTCCTTAGACCTAGGACAGCAATTCTGTCTACACTATGTTTTTCATTCAATACTTGCACCCTGGTCCAACTTCCAAAACAGACTCATGTCTGACTCCTGTGGAGGTGTCCTGTGACTGAAAACAGAAGGGGCTGTTTTACCAAGAATTCTGCAACACACTGTGGCCCAAGCAATCCTAGGACAGTTCCCATCTGTGTTAAGTGTCATTATAAAGCATAGAGGGAGAAGCTTTAGAAGACGTGTTAGGGGTTCAACCCACTGGGGACTCCAGGAAATTTAGTGGGGACTGGCACTCAAGGACTCCAGCGCACCAGCAGCAGTGGGGGCCAGCAGAGAGCAAAGGACTCAGCATAAGAGGCAGCAGGCTTGGCAGGACCCAGGGGAGCCCTGGGTGGGGCTCAACAGCAGAGGCCTGGCTTGGAAGCCCCCACCTCACTGCCTATTGGCCTTGTTCCTGAGCACTGGTCGAGTCATGCCAGGGCCCTCCCCCAAGTAGCTGATGTTCTGCAGTGGGTCGGGGTTCTGTATGCCTAGGTGGGAACGACAGCCCACCCGGCACAGCTCAGTCACCACACTGCTTCCCCACAGCAGCTCTGAGGACAAATGTTTTCCCCACGAAAAGATCGAGTCTTAAGCAGATGTATCTGTAATAATTGCCAGTTTTATTCCTCTGGCTAAGACATCCAGAGGTAATTTGAGGTTTACACTTTTTAATAGTTCTTTCATCAAGAGTTTAGTTGCCCCCATTGCCCTTATAAGCTGGTTGCAAATTATTTCACTCTTACTTATAAAAAAAAACTTTTAATTTTTTTGTGTGTGTGACGTGTTCATTTAAAAATACATATATAAGCAAAAAGAAAAAAACTCATACCACACAGAAATAAACAGTTAAATTTTTGATATATGTATGCACACGCACGCACACACACACACAATTTGAGATTTTTATCCTACATATGTGAGTTGATACTAAAT